CCCTACTAGGCACTCCCACCGCCTGGGAACCACCCGGGACACCCCTCTGTGCGGAAAGAGCTATTCCTGGAGATGTTCTCAGCAGAAACCCTTCCGCACCTCCAGCGGACGTGTGGGTCTTGGGGTACGTGCGAGAACCGAGTAAGGAGCTGCACAGCCCGCTCCCAGCTCCTCGCCGCCGCCCCACACTGCGCAGCAGCACCTGAACCATGGCAACAAGCGAGCAATCTGCTTCCCGGTAGAAGAAAGGGGAAAGGTTTGTGCAATGGCCTTCGGAGAAAGCTGGTCTCCCAAGATGGGAACACTTCTAAGGAGCACGCTTGGATTGCAAGGGCCATCCGCTGGTGGCCACAGCCTTCACACCTGGCATAAAGGGCCGGTATTTACATCAAGCCTAGACCAGACTTCCAGCATTTCACATGGAATAGATTGAGGGTTCGGAGCGATAGGTGAAAACATCAAACCTCAGACAGCAAGCCCAGTGACTTCGTTTGCAGTAGCCTGAGGAAGGAGATGTTTCTTGGGTGAAAGGATTTCATGCCACGGGAGGCCCGGAGTTGCCAGCTGAGAGCCATCACCCTCCCAGCCGCCACACCGGACAGCAATTTGGAGAACCCCTTCTCCAGCCAAAGAAGGACCTGGCCTCACCCATGTGAAGCACTAAACCCAACTCTTCTGTTGCCGTTTATTGTTTTCAATCGTTTTGCATTAAATGACCCGAGTCTGAAGTATGTATTCCCTGGCAAGCAGCAGCAGTATTGAACGCGCTCAGGGTAAGCCCCCACGTGCACCGGGAGCGCTGCAGGGTGAGTGTTGGCTTCTACGCAGATTCCCCGCCCGGCAAAATGCCAAGGGGGGTGGGGGGAGAAAAGGAAACTTAACAGTTGAGCAACAATTTATTTAACAAAAGGATGTTATCCAACATTCTATGGTATCAAAATCAAAACAAAAACACCCAACCTATTTCACTGCGCTTGCTAAAACAACTGTATTAAAAACCGGTACAAAACGTTTTCCCCCAGCTGAAGTGCCAGCCTTGGAAAGGAGCGCCTCGGGGGGGCTCACCACCCACACGTGGGATCAAGAGAAGCAGGAAGCGAGGCGGAAAACACACAGCAGACGCACAGCTCCCTTTCCACGCGCCGCGGCCTTCCCGAAGAACGTGCCTGCCTGGTGCCCTTTCTACTGCTCAGCCTGCCACCTGGCCCGGCCCCGCGCATTCCCCGTCACCTGAACAGCACTCCCAGGCCTGGTTTCGTGTCGAAGGACAGGCCAGAACGTTGGGGCAGGGACAGAGGGGTCTGTTTCTCGTTGCACTGCCTCTCTCCCCACCACGCCAGGCCGCCCTGCTGCGCAAGCTCTAAGCACGTACTCCTGAGCCGAACAATTCCCAAAACAGGAGGCAGAAGCCCAACACCATCAATTGTACCCAGCGTTTATGACAGCATTTGGACCCCGTAATACTAATATTTAAAGCCTAACAACACTATAAATAAGGGTGCCGCTGGAAAGGGATCGCTGATCAGAACACTGTTTCAGCAGGCCAGCAGGAAGCATCAAGGTTGTTCGTGAAACACAAAACAGATGGCAGCCAGCTTTCGTTTCCTAAGGTAAAAACCCAACATGCACTCGGGGTTTTGGGGCCTGTTTAATTCCCAGCTTATGGGACTTTTGCCATGGCGTCACGTCCCGCAGCCCGCAGATCGGAGCGCCTGCTGGTGGACATCCGTGTACGAGGCTGTCAGTGGAAAGAGCGCTCACGCTGCCCAGAAGGAACCCGGGGCCCCACGCCTGACAATTTCTACAAGTTATTTTCACGGGGGATATTTTCTGGTTTGCTCTCCTGCAGAAATATTTTGGATACAGAAGGGTTTTTAAAAGTTTTAAAGGCACTCGCTAAGTTTTCCCCCACCCAC